AAGGGGTTAACATCCTGCTGCTGATTTGCTGAGTGGTCAGAGGATAAGAAAGAGGACATTGGAGAAAATATTTTGATCTCTAATGCTTAGGGAAATAAATCTATTAGTTTATAGTCTTTCATAAACTTTATGAGGCATTGTAATTCTGATATTTCATTTTTATGGCAAACAGTGTAATGAAAAAAGAAGAGTCATGTATGAGACATTAATCAAAGCTTATGACAAACACCACACAATGAATAGGTTCTAGCTCAATGTAAAGCAGTTCTCATTTAATTACACATCTAATTTAATTGCATTCATCAAATCTAGGGGATGTGATTATGTTTAACTAAACATCGCCCACATATTAAGTAGATATGTAGAAAAAACGGCGCTGCTGAATTAATAATTTAACAACAGCCTTAGTTTACACAACAAAGTAATCTCACATTCCCTTTACAAATCAAAACTGTGAAAAACCTTAGCTAATACAATAAAAACCAAGTTTGTACTTAGTAAATATATTCTGGAATTAAAAAGTAACAGCAGCACAGGGCCTCACTCTGAGAAGTGGCTTAAAGTGATATTAAAGTCAAAAGGTTTTTCGGCTATTTCAAACGCTGATGAACTCACTTACAATGGATGCTGCTCCTTGATGTTTAAAAGTTTTAGCGTCCTCCAGAATCAGTTGGTCCCCTGAGCACTAATCCCGATATCCTATTTTAGGGTGGATCCATTTCCTAGCACCTATGGAGCCACCCTTATGTATGCTAGTAAGCTGTGTGTGTCTCCACGAACACAGAGGCACAACTAGTAGATGAACAACTGCTGGAGACTGTACTGTCCCTTGTGATCTTGTACTGGACAGGAAAATCAGGGAAGTAAGGATAAAAGAGTTGGAGCAGCTGTTTGGAAACATGATTACTGTAAGTGTTTAGGCAAGAATTTAAAGAAACACTTTGTTGGGCAATATATCGTTTTTTGATCTGGATTTATTATTGAGAAAAAGCTTGAAAGTTTAATATTAAAAAAGAATGGTCTGTGTTTGCTGATGGTGTAAGTTTATTATTATTATGATACAGGATTTATATAGCGCCAACAGTTTGTGCAGTGCTTTACAATATAAGGAAGACAGTACAATCACAATTCAATTCAAGACAAGATGGTAAGGAGGGCCTCTCTTTCTTTTCTCTTTCTTTTTCTTAAGCTGTGATCCAGCATTAAGCCAGCAAAACCCTAACCCTATCCTTTATTTCCTAGCAGGAATGTTCAGGACTTTGGACAACATACTTAATTCTGATTTAATAAGAACCAGTCTGAACTCATATTATGCAAGAAACGGAATCTTTTTTTTTCACTGAAAAGGCTTACCATTGAAATATTCAAACTTACTCACTTATTTAGCTTTGTTTACTTTGTCTATGTCTGACGCTTCAGCATGAGTATTTTATGCACAAACAGACTGACAAATTAGGTCACTGCACCACATCCTTAGTATTATAAAGAAACCATAAAAACAATTTGTGGGACTTTTCAGGTGATATAATGATATTACAGTAGGCATATCACTTAAGTTTGGGGGAAAAAATAATTGTTTTATTCATACAAAAATTTAAAAGCATATAAAAGAAGAAGCAAGAGAGAGAGAGAGGATTGGTGCATGTTTACAATGGCTTCAAGATAGCAGTAAACATTCTACTGTAACAAGAACTGCTTCTACATATGATACCCTCAATACTCCAGCAGTCAGCGCTTTTGCATATTCCAATAGGGGAACTTTGTCTCTATTAGGGTTATTCACAAAAAGGTGAAGAGTTTGGCGAAGGCAGGAGAAGTGAACAGTTTAGGGCAAAATAGCTGAGTTTGAAATATTCTCCAACTCAGCTGATTTTCCATTTCAGCTATTTTGACCTAAACTGTTCACTTCTTCTGCCTTCTTCAAACTCTTCACCCTTTTGTGAATAACCCTTTATATCTTAGACTGATTTTGATGATAGAGTCAGGTAAGCATTCAACACATTTCACAAATCAAGCAATCTGCCTGATTAGGAAATGTGGCGTGTTTTTGTACCCAAGTGTCCAATTATGGGGTGACTTATCAAATTAATACATGAAATAGCCCCTGGTAATTCAGTATAAGATGAATTTCAACATGGACATAATGGAAGCTAGCATGAGGAACACTGTATATCTTAGTGCCCGAAAATCAATAAATACAAAGTATTGTATGTCTAGGAGTAATCCCAAGCTTACCTAGTTGCTTATGTCAGTGAACCCTACTGCAATAAAGTTTACCTGACACTAACACAGCATGTGATGTCATGAGTAGTGTGCATGAGGTGGCTCACCGTGCATATTTCTCCTAGTCGTCATATGGAGAACCCGCCCAATTACCCAGTCCCTAAGGTGGGGGGTAGACACCAGGGAGCAAAGCTGTCATGTTGGAACCTGATGAATAAGTAACAACCCAAAAAGTGCTGGAAC